TCTAATTTATTGAGAGATTGTATATCCTCGTAGTCAGCGTCAATAGTTTCGATGTAGACATCTCCTCGCGCGTCGTCCAACAGCAAATCCTTTAACCATTCTCGTTTTTCGTGTCCCTTGACGTATACGAGAAGCGGTATCTCAAAATCGCCAGCATCTTCTATACCAACCACAGCCGTTGTAATCAAACTTCTAGCCCTGCCGTATGGAACTATTCCATCATCCCATTGTAGTCCATGATGATTCGCAACCAACCAGGATGCTTGATGTCTCTCCGCTCTGCTGAGAAGTCGCCACGGTACTTGACTTGAGAAAATGTAATGTGTGAGAACGCGTCCTTCTCGGAGAGCTGCAAACTCCTTCACGACAAAGTGGCCGCCGACGACGAAACCTTGCAGATCGACAAACGTTGGTGTAGTCATGACGACACCTTTGAGACTGCTCCTCATCGCGATACATGAATCTCTCGTATATTGGAATACTGCCAACATTGCAATTTACATGATTTTGCGCACTACATTGGACAATGGGCAGTATTCGATGACACGATCGTGCAAGATAAGACAGTAGGCTGTAGTATTTGCAGGCACATTCTCCTTGCAATCAAATTCTATGCGTACATCCACAGTAGCGCTCTTGATAGACTCGTTCTGTCGCGCGCAATCGATGACTACGAAAGGTCCATTCGTCAAAAATGTGGTTACGGTGCAAAGCGTTTCATAGCAGTTGTATCCATAATAAGCTTTACGAAAACGTGCATACATGTCAAAAAGTATAGCGTATTTATTTCTTTTGAAGTCTAAATTTAGGTCATCATATGGATAAAATTCAGAGTTGAGATAAAGTTTCACGTTGGTCAGATTACAGTCATCGAATACGCTCGCATCTTCAGACATGATATTCTTTCGGCCAGTCTGCAGAGCAAAGATAACATATCGCGGTTTCTCTAATTGAGTCGCAGATTTGATAGCCCATGAATGTCTGGTTGTGCTCTGCAATGGCGGGTACTCGTAAAGTTCCCATGATCGGAAACTCATACTCAGATATCGTCCGCTTTCCAAAGCTCGTAGCAAAGATAGTTTATTGGTCTCATTCAACATAACGTGAGGCATTCGCCACTGTACTTTAAGTAGTTCAATTTCAGGTTCCGTCTTCGAATCTCCCTTGATAGAATTGTCAGTGCGCGCTCGTATCAAAATCAATTCATGACGAGCGTTAATAACCACACGTTTGTAATCCTCGCAAAAGCCTAAAAGCATGTTGAGCGGTACGCAAAAATTAAAGTCTCCTTCCGGTATGGTTGATAAAATGTCCCATCCAGCATTTCGCAAGATCTGCGATTTGTCATACGTTAGTGATACATAACCCTTGATAGTGCTGGTTATTCCAGCGTTTCTGATGCGATCAATCTCCACGCCGTTGAGTTTGTATCGAATTTCGTCAAACATAAATGCCACGCAATTATTTGCGAGAAAATTCTCCGCATCATTGTTCTTCTTCTTCAATTTTCCTTCGATGTAGAGTAAGCTTTCACACGGTAACGTGTACAAATCCTGTTGTTGTATGGGTATCCTTATCTCATCGCTATGCCCAAACGTCGTATTGGCATACGGATTGTATGTATGAGTCTCAATTTTGACAATGCTATTGTCAAAGATCGGCTCGCGTCCAATATTCAAGATATCAGCCATTTCGTACTTTGAAGCCTAATGATTTCAAAAATTCAATGTTCGACGCAGTGAGTTTCTTTTTATCGGACGATAGGATTTGTTTTTCTTTGATAAAACTTTTCGCCTGTTCCACTTCGTTCAACACTAGCATCTCCCGCTATCGTTGCCTCCTCCGCACATGTAATCTAACGGTGATCTCTTCCCCGCGAAAATCGAGCAGTTGACCGTTCTGATCCACAATACGAATCGTCAGATCCGTAATGCTCCGTACGACGATCGGAAGATAAATGATCTGTGCAGGTATTTCCGATATCCTGGTGGAACGCTCGGCGAAAACTCATGTATCGTATGCACGCGCTTGTCGTTGCTGTACGCACGCGCGGTCACATTGCACTCTATGCGAATAATGTTTACGTTAATAATATTTATCGATACGTCCAA